AAGTCATTTCATTCGAAAGAGAACATGCTGCTAAGCACTGTTACAAAGGGAAAAACATTCAAATTTATATCTTCTGATTTAGAAATATTTGAAATTAGGAAATGCAAATTAAGTAGTGACGTCTACTAAGGAGTGATTTAATATGCAAAATCACGAAAAAAATACATTACTCTTTTTTTTTATCGGAGATGACATTTCCAGCTCTTGAATATCACTGTTATTGATGATTTGACCCTTTCACCCGAACACAAGATATCGCAAACAATAAAAAACCTTCAGCCCAATTCCTTGATTGACGTCACTTCATTAGCATTTTCAAATTTCAAATGCCTTTAACTCAGCAAATAGAATTCAAACAAATTTTTTTCTTCAAGACAGTGATTAGCATCATATTTGCCTTTATAAAAATATGATTTTCTAAAAGGGTTCAGTTGCACTTTAAATGGTTGGTCTTATTCTTGTGCTTGCGTCAATGTCTTATGCCATGCACTTGACTTCATCCCTCTGTGTTTTCATCTGCTTTATCTATTTATGTCAAATGGTTGGTCTTATTCTTGTGCTTGCGTCAATGTCTTATGCCATACCCTTGACTTCATCCCTCTGTGTTTTCATCTGCTTTCTCTATTTATGTTAAATGGTTGGTATTATGCTTGTGCTTGCGTCAATGTCTTATGCCATGCACTTGTCTTCATCTATATACGGTATTCTCCTGTTGTCTGCTATAAGTTTATTATTCTGTCACAGAATCATATGCAGCTGTCCCCACTTTGCGCACCACGCATGATCATGTCTTCAAACTTGCTTGTCATATGTGTTCCATCTATATCTACCGTGCACCACGTGTAAATCTATTAGAACAAAGTTATGCGCGAATTCTAACCTGGATTTATCATCGCAAAGAAACGCAGCACAGAGAACACCACTGAAAATTTTGTTTTTGTTGATTCCTTTAGGCAAAGGATCGCTCTACYGCGTTTCATTTGGCATGTGAGCAAGGTTCTGTAGAGATTGCTAAGCTGTTATTACAACATGACCCTGGTATTGCAAGAATATTTTTGATTGATACWAACGGCGCCACGCCGCTTCATAACGCCGCTAAGAACAACAGTCACGCTTTGATGGAGCTACTCTTGGAACACGTGAGTCTTGAAAATATAACGCGCGCTAATTACCCTATTTCATTATGACGTTACAATGTGTTTACACAGGGGAAAGATAATAATAAAAATAATAGTAATATTAATAATCTAAGCTTATAAAGCGCTTATACAACTTTTTCTAAGCGCAAATAAAAAGGTAAAAATTAAGACAAAGAAAGTTAAAATAGAGTTACAGATCTTAAGTTTGTTTAAATAAGAAGGTTTTAAGAGCAGTTTTAAAATTATCAAGTGATCTGAAGAAATATCTCTGATCGAAGATGGGAGTGAATTCCATAGAAAAGGACCAGCAACACTAAAAGAACGATAGCCATAACTTTTGAGATTGTAAGACTTGGAAGACAGTACCAGTTGAGACGACGAGCGAAGGCAACGAGAAGGACGATATTTTTCAAGCATGTCTTGAACATAGATAGGAGCCAGGCCGTGAAGAGCTTTGAAAGGTGTTCAAAAGCAGTGGRAAGTTGGACCCTATATTTTCTCTCCGAATGTAGAATTTCAAGCACCGTGTATTGGTACAACATTGCTCATGCAAATCTTATTTGATTGGCAGTCAAAATCCTAAGCGKCAAACAATAGGTGTTAATATGACGTCATAATGAAATAGGGCAAATCCATGCCAATCTTGATGTAATGCATGCAATTCAATAAGTTTCCGGACAATTCYCTTATAGGGTGCTAATGTTAATGCAAAGGATGGCAATAATGTAACCCCCATAATGCTAGCAGCAAGTTTTGGTGCTACAGATACAGTACAGCTATTACTGGAAAAGGGAGCAGATCCAACAATCAAGAACATTGATGGCARATCAGTCATATTTAATGCTGTTGGACATAGTGACATCATGAAAATACTTTTAACGGTAAGCATTGATTTGAATCAAGCTAATGTCCAATACATGATAATACCGTTGAAATCTTTATGCCTTCTGAGATCAGAATTTAACGACTAAATCAGTTATAAAGCAGTATAAACTGCCCTTGATTTATTATGACCACCTTACCGTGGCTGCRCCGCGTTCCTGGAATGCCCTGCAGCAGGGCATTCCAGTCCACACTCAAAACTCATCTGTTCCGAGATTATATATTTTGGCCATATTTATTAATTTTATTATTATAAGTGTAATTATCAAGCCCTCTGTTTCTTTATTTTTTTTTCTTTTTAGAAATGTATAAAAATATAGTGTTTGTTGCCATTATTACTTATTGTAAAGCATAGAAACTTTTTATATGCTATATGAAATTATTAATTAGTCAGGCAGTATTTTAGTTCGAGATAGAAGCGAGACCAAGTGTGRTCCCCTTGTGGTTCTCCAGGTTGGAGGGTTGGGCTGCTAATGATCAGTCCAGATTTCCAAATTGCTTATGCTTTCCATACTCTTAATACCGTAGGCATGCTGTGACGTACGCGTCTATTCGTAGAGAAATGCATGGGCAAGCAATCTTGTTGCGATTGTTGCAAAATAATACACGCTTGCATTGAAAGACCACAGGAAAAGACTTCGTAAACCAACAATAAAATGGATATATAATAAATAAAAAAATAAATAATAATAGAATAATCTAATGATCTACAATTACTATCTCTATACAGGATGGTGAGAATAGTGAGAATCTAATTACGTTACTTACGGAAAATGATGCCACTGGATTTGCTCCTCCGCATTACGCAGCAAAGCATGGAGATTTGAAAGTAAGTTCTTAGAGATCTCAATGGTTAGACGTTTACGGCTAGCTCGGCTAACTTGTTTCAGCTTGCTTTTACCGTTTCCTGGTCGTTTTTCATGTCCACATGAATGATGAGTGCCTCTCTTCCCCTATGAAATTATTCCGCGATGTAAAAAATAGGAAAATCAAAACTAGTTTTCCGTACAGGATTTAGAACGGAACCGGCTGCTTGCGCAGACGTATACGTTTACGTTGATTGTTATAGCCATATGAATACTCATTGTTCAAGTGAAAGGCTTATGGAAGCTCGTGCATATATAAAAATACGGACGCTCTGCGTGCGGTCCTAAGACAAAGAAAGGATAAGAAAAAGGATCTCGTCAAAACAATAGTTGTCGTACTTACTATAAAATATGAGCAGGAGAAGTATTATTTATAGGAGAAAATCGAAGTTAAAGTCGTATGCAAATCAAGACAAACTCATATATAGACTCCTCGCAGCCGTTTTCCGGTGTCGTCTCCTTAAGGATTAAGGAGACGACACCGGAAAACGGCTGCGAGGAGTCTAACTCATATAAAGATGCAGCCGATTTTCTTTTGTGTTTACCTTATATATGAATATTATTCATGATTTTGATAATGCTCTTTTGAAATGCGTTAAAGGTATTTTATATCTCTTCTCTCTCAGAGTATGCAGTTATTTCTTGAATGCAACAAAGCAACAGCAGCAGTTARCTCAGACTCGTTAGACACTCCGTTACACGTGGCTGCTAGGCATGGGAAACAGCAGGTTGTCAATTTACTATTAGAAAAGCARGCTACKAAGATCATTAACCTACAAGACACTCGAGGAAGGACWGCACTGCACTATGCGGCCGGTGGAGGCTATCACAGAGTTGCAGCCAAACTTCTTTCATGTGGAGCATCCATTGAAAAGTGAGAAACATTTCAATAGGCAATTTGCAGCGACGCCATATTGTTGAGCAAAGCATGATGTTGTCCTATCTCCTAAAATATCTCCTTCAAARACGTTTTTATATTTTCTTTTTAAAAAAGGCACAAATACTTCTATTTTTGCTCAGAAAAAGGAAAAGAAAATGGTTAGGGGCTGTTTAGGTGGACATAAATAAAAGGGCTTGAACTACCATCATCCTTTTCTGCACAAAATAGCGTTGCTCAAAATTGCGTCTAGAGAAATGGCGATAATTGACATGAAATATCCAATTTTATGTATAGTTTAAAACATGAGAGAGAGTGTTTTAAACGACTTCAAAAAAACTAATTTGAAACTCAAATCCGTTAAAATTCTTGGAGAAATTGCCGTACAAATATGTTCTGAGRTAAATRGGGCARACTGATCATGCGCGAATSACTTTAMAAAGCACTCTTGTCATCCCACATTGAATACTAGAACCGCTCTTGGCTGTTCACTGTAATCGGTTGACATCCTGCATTGGTCAATGATCAGGTTTCAAACCTGAGACCTTTGCTAGGGTCATATGGACCTTTATATATCTGATAAAGAGTGTTTTATCAGATATGAAAGGTCCATGCATGTGACCCAATAGGCTCATCCTATTGGACTAATAACTCATTAATTATGTATGAGTTTTTGAAAGATCCATTATCATCCTGGATGCTTTGTGAGCACTGTCATAATCATAATAATCATGATAGTTTGACTACCATTTCAGGCCATTGATMCTCTTTTGGAGTAATATCAACTCCTTGAAAATAACAGTTTAATGAATATGTCATTTTAGGGATCAAAATGATCGCACTGCGTTACACGAAGCAGCAAGAACCGGCTCAAAAAGGACCGTTGAACTTATAGTAAATGCAAGAAGTCACTGCTTAAATTTTGTAGATGATGAAAAAGTWAGTAAATGTATTCTCCAAAAATAATATGAAAACACATCACATGGCAAAAATATAAATAATAAACAAAATTAGCCTTTGAAAAATTAGCCATACATTGAATCCAAGAACCTAATCATTGAACCAACCAACGATGAATATTGAGCATCCGCACTGACCGATCCTTTATAGCCATCAATATAGAAATACAAACCACTAACCAGCCAATAACCAACCACTAGCTGTAACCAATTACTTCCTTGACGTGACACAACAACCACCGATTATACTCTATACTCCACCATTAACGTACCAAAACCCAACCAAACATGAACCAGACACCCAAACAGTACACCACATTAGCTGTAATTACCACGAAACCACTAGTACTAACTATTAACCTAATCTTTTCCTGGACGTTCCAAATTAACACCGATTTACCGCTATTCCACCAACCAATACCTAAAGTACCAAGCACCAACCAACGAGCAGACATCCAATCACTGATTCAAAGTAGCTGTAATTACTACTAAACAACCACTAGTACTAAACTCATAACCATAACCTTTTCCTGGAGAACGCTCCAAATTACCATCGTCCAATTACCACTATACCACAAACCAGACCAGCCACCCAAGCACTATACCACTGTACCAACCACTGAGTAAATTACTAAGCACCAACCAACCACCATCCCCCTTGAAACCACTCGACCAACCACTAACGTACAAACTAYCGACAACCAACAACTGTAGAAGCAAATTAATATATAAATTATCCAACTAAATTAATCCTTTCAGTTTCCAATTGAAACAAACGCAAACGAATTAACGTAACACAGAACATGAATAAACGAACAAGTACAACACTACGACGCTTTACATTTCAACTGATTTGGTCTTTCCAGATTGATCATTTCTCATTGATTATAATTCATGATATGCAGAATACAGCTTTACATCTGGCAGCGATGTACGAACATGCTGAACTTGTGACATTCCTTCTAAGTCAATCAACACAGAAGGTTCTTTTGAATTCTTCAAACAAAACTATTCTGACAACTGCTTTGGAAACAAATAATCATGAAGTCACAGAAGCTATTGTAGAGCATAGCAGGTATATGATATTTGCTATACACCCTTTTAATAAGTCCCGAGGTATTGAGTTCTCTGCACTCGACGTCAAGATTTATTCTTTTAAAATTTTTGCAATACAAAAGGAATTGAAAATAATAAATTTGACGTCAAGTGCGGAGAACACAATACCTCGGACTTATTATGCCCTGTTTACATGAGATAGCGTGTCCCTTCGTGGTAGGGCCAACTCCTATGTTTTCTTTTCCTTTTCCCTGGAGGAGTTTTGGCCCTTCCACTAGGGCACTCTATCTTACGTAAACAGGGTCTTAAAAGGGTGTATAATACGAGCTCTTGGATTGGTTGAAAATCGTGTGTTATCAATATACGCGAACAAGGATGACGTCATTTAATCTAACGTGTGATTTGATTGGACAAAACCAATGTGCGCGCATTGATGTATTCTTTGAGCTATTTCAACTAAATTATAATGCGCACTCTAGAAAGCAACTAGATGAAAATATTATGTAAATCAAATAGATTCTATTTTTTCCATTTTCTTCTATTAGAATACAGGTACATGGAAAA